ATACGGCCAGACAAACATTAAAGGCAGGCCAATCTTGGCCGTAAGGTACTTCAATTTTGAGGAGGTGTGCGGGCAATTTTGAAAGGCACGACGGCCATTGGCCGCGGTGCCGCGGCTTATGTCTAGCCCTGAGCTTGGGGTCAAAACCAAGGGTCCAGCAGCCCTGGAGCAGTTGAGGTTAAAGGCCTAGCGCAGGGCACAATGGTGATATGACTATCCAGCCAGCAACAGGATTCCAACCCACAACCTTCTGGACCTGGGCATAGAGCCCAAACCTGCTGAACTACATACTGCCCCCTACAAGTAGAGGTCGGTACCTGTCAAAGGGGTGTACATGAAGTGCTGAGGCTGACTGCGTTTCTTCTTCCCGTTGATCACACAGAAGTTCACCTTCACTGGATATGCGATGGATGGGTCTCGGTAGGAGGGAACCTCCACAAACAGCATGCTCTGGAAGTAACAGTCTATTGTTAGCAGTGTTGGGGAAGTTACTGACGAAAGTAACCCATTACAGACAGTTCAGGTCCAGAAAGTACAAATCCAGACCAAGGTGTTGCTTCAACCAAGTCTTTATACTCAACTGGTTGGTTGAAACATAACCTTGGTCTGGATTTGTACTTTCTGGACCTGAACTGTCTGTAATGGATTACTTTCGTCAGTAACTTCCCCAACACTGATTGTTACTGAGAACAGCACATGTGCGTTGAATTTCAAAGTTTCAGAAAAGTATCAAGGTTTTCTGACGTAACAAGTTAAAGTAACTAATGTGGTTAGTATTGCTATAATGGGAGAAGGAAACCAGTACAAAGAGCTCACAAGCCCTCCATAAAACTATATTTGCATTCAGTGGGTGATAATGACATATGAAGGAGATGTATAAATTGCCCGGTCTTTCATACAAGGCTCAGGCGAACAATAGAACAATCCACGCAAACACTTACAGCCTGGCTTTTGCCTTTGTCCACAGTCGCTTCAGCCTTCCAGATGTGATGTCCTTCTGTAAACACACACACACAAGGCATGTCTTAGCAGAAAGGTACACGATGGTTTTTGGTTAGTACCATTATCTATCAAATAATTTCTACAATATGATGCAATTTTATGCAATAAAACTTTGTAGAACTGTATAAATTTAACTACTTTTACTTATAATTGCAAATGCTTAAAACCGTAGTGTGGGCTGTAGATATGGGATGATCAAAGGCCAGGAAGGTATAAGAGAGGCTATCCTGAGCTTAGAATGAATGCCCAGTTACAAGAGTAAGCAGCATAGTTGCTCCTGCTCCAGTACTTCATAGACCTGTACCTGGGCATTCACTGGAGGCTCAGCCTAGCTGCATTCACGCCTAGTTGACTCCTCAACAGCATGAATGTTCATAATGTGCTATTTGCTTGATGTTCATGTCACTTTTGAACAAAAGCGTCTGCTGAATAAATATAAATGGAAACAAGGGAGTATGGATATCAAATACATAACCTTAATGTGCATGAGGAGGTATAAAGTTCTATATCAGGGGTATCATACTTTCTTAAACAGTTCATACATAGGGGCCCCCTACCACTAATGTGTATTCACCTAAATAGCTAAGAAGTGCAACATTTCTTGCTCCAGGAAATTTCCCTTTGAATATTTTTGGCTCTGGTAAATGGGGTTCTCCTAGTATGCTTCTTTGTGTGTACCAGATGACTGTAACAATTTCATTAATGTACAATACATTTCTGCAGACCTCCTACAACTGCTGTACGGGACACCGGCGGATCACAGACCATTGGCTGAATATCACCGTTTGATGTTAGTGTAGCCACCACGTTACAAAAATAAACATGAGGGGCCTTTTTGAAAACACCACAAATCACTTTAAAGACTTTAAATATCGGTCTTAAACACTGAATGTTTAATGCATTGAATGTTTTACTTTTTGAGATTTGAAAAGAATGTTATTTTCTTAGTTTGCAGGAGTCGGCTTAGCTTAACCCTGAAGATAATTCTGTAAAAGAGCTTTACATGGAAGTACCAGCAGGGGGAAATGATGAGCGATGAATGCGCAGATCCATGACACCGCCTGAGGTTGATTTCTCAGAATTTCGTCTTCAGGTTCTCAGTCTTTGCGTTCCTTCTAAGTAGCATGTGGGTGGTGCAAGTAAATATCATCTACTGTGTTTTGTTTCGACAGAGTAGGGTTAGGGTAGTTCCCTTCACTTTCATACCCAACCAGCCACGATTGGAAAATTGTAAGGAATAGTCGTTGGTGCATAAATACAGTAGCACTTCTCTGAATATGACATTCTTTTGCACCCCCATGCAAATGAATAAGTCAGTATAGAGTGACAGTTCTACATATAATTCACAGAAATGGGTGGATATTGCTTTTCTTTCAGCAGATTGCTACAAATGATACACTCTGGGGAGCGCTTACAGTTCTGAAAATGGAAAAATGAAGTTCCATATCAAGGTGATAGTACTTTACTGTTGGAAAAAAAACATTCAGAGATTTCCAAAATCACTAAACCAAAAAACCTTTAAAATGTCAGACCTTCATTTTCATTCAGTGGTGGTTCTACACTGTATACTGGGTAAACCAAAACACATCTTATAGCCAAACACGTAAATGGAAGGCATATAAAGTAACCTAACCTAAAGATTCTGCTCTAGAATAATAGCAATAATATTTCTTTCATTGGTATATTTTTCCCCCAAGCGATTATTCTAGAAACTGCACACAAAATTTGTGTTCCACAAGTCAGGTAGTCCAAGCGTGTACATTTCACAGGATGACACAGTTGCATATTTATGAGAAAGGATCTTTTTAAATGATGTGACTTGTAAGGAAAGGCCCTCTCAAACTGAAAAAATAGTGTATACAGATATGACTAAAGTATGGTGGGGAATTCCGGAAAAATATTTTTATCATCAAAGTGACCCATTTCAGCAACAACTGTTTTGGCACTTTTGGGACAGATTTAAGGTGAAATATTACTCTAAAGAAATATCAAGTAAACGGCAAGCTTATTTATCAAAATTTCAAATATTTTTAAAAGACAACATGATTGAAAACCGTTTATGATTAAAAGGATTCTTTCTGAGGCCAACAGACTAATCAAGACACCTTAAAATGCCCTAATTATTTAGAAAGCAGGCAATTAATTATTAATATCATGTTAAAAGACTGAACCGATAATCCTGGATTTTCTGGCATTTAACAAAATATGACAACAACCAAAAAAATAAGGAAAAACTGTTGGAGAATGTCATGTGACATTTAAATATAGTATTAAAAGTATCCCATTTTGATTCATTTTAAAAAGTTTGTCTTTGTGATATTGAAAAATACAGTCCTAATGGGAATAAGGTGAAGATGTATCAATTTTACGATTAAGAAGATGGTAAAATAGCACACTACATATTCAAAAGTTAAAAATGTTGCCCCTTAACTGCAAAGTTTATGTTAAATTAATTTTGGTTCAGAAAATCAGTGACAGGGACCTAATGCTCTTTGAGAAGGGAGAGGTTCAAAGACCCGTTGACAGAATGTGAAGTTTTCGCAACACATTGATAACTGCCATGGAAAATAAAATGTCACGTGAGTTACAACTTCAAATGAGTCCACTGCTGCCCCTGAAGACCTGTCTTTTATGCAGTTTGTTTTTCTCCAGCTAAAACCATGAACATTTCCTTGCAGGAATTTCTTCTATAGCTATTTTAACCTAATTTAGCGTTCTCTCTCAGCTTGGGAGTTGACAGCAGTATGAGGAGCTCTTGAAAACCCTCCAGAAGCTTTTGTTTCTGTTTCTGTACATGGTTTGCTTATCTCTCTCTGGCATCTGAGTTCCAGTGTAAATAACAGCCAACTGATATGAAACCAAATAATGTCAAAATTTGAATTGATGTATGACAGGCCTACATTAAAACTGATAACCTGTCAGTCATATAAAATTCTAAAAAAAACTGTTCCATATTTACAGTTACAAATTCATCTGCATAACCTGATTTTAATACTAATAATAAATGCTGTTAACTATTAACAATTTATTGCTAATTATATGAGATTCTCTTGGCACAAAGGTCAGACTTAAAAATGACTAAATAAGTGTACCCCAGACTTGTCTGGGATAGGCTCCAGCCACGCCCTCCCCTTGTTAGAAGATGGATGGATGGATAGAAGGATGGATGGATAACATTTGAACAATACTGTCACTTTTTACTATATTTCTCTTACTATGTAGCGTTTCTGATTGTTATGCTATACAACTGTACAAGACATCCAGCAAAGCAAGGATGAAGGAGCATGATGCCAAAGTAGGGGCATTAAGACCTGGGGGATGTTCCATAAAGCAGGATTTCTCGGTTAGCTGGGTTAACTTAAGATAGAAGCCATGATCATCCAATAGGAATGCTCCTTACCTAAACTTATATTGGACAATCAAAAGTTCTATCTTAAGTTAACTCAGCTAACTGAGAAATCCTGCTTCATGGAACACCCCCCTCCTTTGTGGAAAACTCCCTGGGGCTCTGTAAAACTCACCGCGTGTCTTCTCCATGAAAACCACTTTGGAGTCCAAGGTGAAGTTCTGTCCAGTCAGGATCATCTGCTGCCCCCCCAGAACTGAGCAGCTCTCTATGTCCTGCTTCTCTACCATCGGGAGCTCGTAGGCTGACCTCTGGGCTGTGGCCAATGAAGGAGATGCATCATCACATCAGGTCATGATTCTCTAGGAAACTAAATATGAAACCTTTTGTGTAAAGTCTGTCTTCTTACCCATACTACTATAAGCTGCCATATGGCCAGTGCATTACTCAATAAAAACCATATTGTAATCTCCTAAAGGCAGTACAAATTATGGAATAAGTAAATATGCAAGCATCGAATCCAAAAAATTCCAAACAATGTAACTGAGAGGCGAGTACTTGTATAGTACATTTAATGAATGACAAGCCCACGCACAATATAGTCTCTGTGTTTGTAACCATAAAAAAATCTATCATAGGAAAGCACACCAGGAACTGAAAAGGTGTTTGTAAGGTAAAACAACCTCCTAATAATAATAATAATAATAATAATGAACTGACCAGAATAAACAGTTAGAACCGGATAAATGGGTTGGTGGATGGATGGATGGATTTATGGATGGATGATTCATTTGCAATTTTATACATGTTTTTTTTTTTTTACAAAATTTCAAATTTTTTTTTTTTTTAGGGCAACTTGAATCCTGGGAAAATCTTTTTTTACATCCCATCTTATCTCCTATATGTGTTTCCTATATGTCAAAAACAGGTGCATGTATGTAAGGGAGTCAGTGACGTGTGATGGGACCTACAGCACTCGATGGGATCGGATGCCACTTGCAGTGTGACAAGCTGGCCTCCAGGCTGAGGTATGTAGACACGGAACACCAGGCGGACGCATGTGTTTTTACGTCCGACATCCGTCTCGCCTTTCCTCAGCTCGATATCTGCGTTCTTCAACTTCAAGATGCCCACACAGTCGATACTGCCAAAGACACAGGAACGTAGTTGAGTGGTAGATGACATATTAACAATGATTAGTGTTAAATGATCATTTATGGCTGCTATTACAAGTAGATCTTATCATTACTCCCCTAATTGCTCAGCAGGAGTGTTTACTGTGACCAAGACTGTGTGCTTCACAAGATCCCAAGTAACCATAATGCTAAGTACTGGGAAGAATTAACAAAGTATAAAAGACACAGCACCTTGTGATTCAATGGGTTAGGCATCTGTGCCCATACTCAGAAGGTCACCAGTTAAAATCCTGTAGCTAGCAGAGTGATCATATGTCCTGAACTCCAGGGATGCTGGGTAAAATGGCTTACCCTGTGTTTTGACCCCAAGATTCACCCTCACCTATATACCCAAGTGTTTCATAGGTGCCACTTTTACCACGGTTACTACACATTTGGCTTACACCTTTTTACTTACAGAAATACTTTCTTCCCCCAGTGATTAAACATTTTGCTTAGACATGACCAAAGCCACCATCGTTATCTTGGAAATTGCCCATTACTAAGCCCAAAGGCCAATTATTAGTTTAATATTGTCCACTGCTAAGCCTATAGACCAGGCTTTAATCATTTTAAGTGACATTAGTTAGTTATTATAATAGCACATTGATTTACTACTGTGATTCCCCCGGCAGGCATTACATTTGCTCCTATAGAAAATCAAACAACACCCTTCTGGCCAATCAGATTCAAGAATTTAAAAGTGTGGTGGTTTCAATGACCAGTTACAAACCTATAGAAACTGCACACTCTCAAAAGGACTTCCTTACATGGCTTCCATGTTTTTCTTGGGCTCCAGTGGAATCTCCAGAACTTTCGTTCCATGGAGCATCTTCTCAAGGCTGACAGTGTTGACGGTCTTGCCGGTGATGCGGTGGACCTGGTAGAAAGCGTGCGGCTTGAGGACCCGTTCGTCAGCTGTGCCGATGAAAATGTGGAGCTTCAGAGGGTCGTGACCTCGGTACCCATGGAGCTGGAAGAAAATATTATCAGACCTCATTAGCTGCAGATCCGACCTCATTAGCTTCCCTCATATATCCAGAGAAGGACCTGGAAATACTCATGAGTATAGAATTTTACCAAAATGGCCCGAGAAACACATTTGTCTACATACAATTCTTCACAAACACAGTACCAAAAACATTCATTTTACATTTTTAATTTTTTTCCATGGGAAACAACCTAGAAATTTTGCATTTATAAAAATGAGAGCGATCTTGACTCTGCTCATCTGTATTAGGTAAGAGGCTATGAGTGTGACATCACCGTACAGTAAGGACATTTTCTGCCAATTCAAATATTTGCATTTTCATATCTCATTACAATTCCTTTGAAAGCATGAATCAAGTAGAATAATGAATCAGACAGCCAATCAGAGGCCAAATGAACATGAAAACTACACAGTGATTGCTGTATTGCAATTTGTGAAAAGTTCCCACAAAAATACTCGTATCACGAGATGCAGTAACATGCAAAAGCATCATTAAACACATAACCCTATTTTAAGTTCAATATTCAGAAAGTGAAAAGAAACATGCATAATGTGAGATTTAACTGCCAGACCATTCTTCATGTCATATTTCCTTAAAACGTTTTTGCACATTTGCATAATCAAATAACCTGTGTGCTACTATTAAGCACTTGAAATGCCCGCGGAAGCATCAGACGCTGCAGTGAAAAAAAATAATAAAACAAAACAAAAAAAATAGACGCTCTGCTCATAAAGTAATGTGCAAAATAAAGGTGACACCTTATACAGCAGCAGCAACTCATACACAAACTGAGATACTGAAAAACTGGAGGAGGAGGAAGCAAGTGGAAACCACAAAGTACAAACCTGCAGCGAGTAGAGTGTCTGTCTTAGAAGACTTCAAAAAAACCCATGTAAATCCAAGTACAAATTCTGCTTACAGCTAAGGGGCAACTTATTGAATTTCAGTTCCTCTAAACAGAATTTACAGTTCAGCTTTTGACTTAAACAGTGCATAATGCATTATGCAATCGTATTAACCTGCTTGGTGTCGTGAAAAGAAACATTATTTAAGAAACAGCTTCCAGCTTCAAGATGCACAAGATGAAATAAGTAAACTGTCACCTAATCTGTATATTGCCAAGCTAAAAGGCTGAATTAAGGAAGGAAATTGGAAGATGAATGGAAATTTCTCTTATGTTATGTACACATTTATATATCTATCAGAATTCTTTCCTTTAAACTTGTCAGTTACTAGGTTACATCAGCAGAGAAGATTTCACTGGATAGTAGATCGATCATTCACAGACTTTTAAAGTTAAAAACTATAGCTGAAAATGGGCAGAATAAGCTATATATATAATTATATATATATAGACACACACAGACACACACACACAGAGCTCACGGCATCACAGCGTATTTTGGTTTTTTCCACTGATCAAAGCCGCAATGGTGCTTCTCTGTGTCAGATTAAAGTTAGAGATAAGAGAGAGCAGCAGGGAGTATGTTATACCCCAGAGGGGGTAGAAATACTGTAGGACACAAGAAAAGACCAACTGTGACAACAGTCAATGAGACTTGTCCTGATTCAGACATTGTTGGTGTTATGTAATTTTAATAATGGCGGAAGCCTGGTAAATGAACAAATGACTGTGAAATAGATGGGAACAAGGCCAAGTGCTCATGTGTTTACATGACACAGATGAATCACATAAAGACAAAAAAAGGAGTATAAATCTGTGTAAAATACCACAGACATTCAGTAGTGAGGCTATAGTCTTGTGTAAATAAACTGGTATGTGTCATACTGAATCATAAAAAATATAACAATAGGGACTGTTAGCTTGTGATAGCTCCTAAAAAGGGCCCTTCACGATTAACAAACTTTGGATGTACATTAAATTAATCAGTGGACATTTGAAACATCAATTCCTCTCAAACATACAAGGTTGCCAGAGTAACCTTACATGTAAACTAAAAAATTTATATCAACAACCTCTCTTCTTGTCTTTTTCCAGATGTCTCAAAAATGCTCAGTTTAAGTTTAAGGGTGAAAGATTACTAAATTTCACCATGTTAACCATTATAGAAGATATAGAAGATTCTCTTATTCTTCAATACATTCTTGTATAAGAGTAGAATCATAGTAAGGAGCACCTGCATAGATACTACCCTGGCACCTTGGTGCACTCACGCTATGACACGCTGCCACACTCACGCAAGCTGGAAGAGATGTGTTGGACATGTACTCTACCTGCACCACTGGGTGGCCTCCTTCAGGTGCTTTGACCGCGCCCCTGCTGCCCTCTGTCTCGTACTGGGCGCGATGGTGAGGCTTTGGCTGGACCTCCACAGAGAGCTCATAAGGATCATGGCGGCTGGGAGCTGGTCTCTCCAGTGGGGACTGGGACGTGACCGAGAAGCTGTGGAGAGAGGACAGAAAAAATATTAACCAGGAAGACAAACACCATACTTTTCATTTAGGCTAAAACTGCTGCGTGAAATGACAGACAGCAATGCCCCCACTCAGAGCTGGAGAGCAGACTCCTCCCAAATCACTGCCTAAAACCAAATACTCTCAGCACTGGACCTCTTAACATTTTGATTGACAGCCCAACCTTACAATCAAGCCCAAGTCTACAGACACCTCAGATCTTCCCCTTGTCCTTTTAGCTTAGCAAGATATCACTTCACTTCTCTTTATTTTTTGCTCCTTTCCATGAACTGCATATTCTACACGGCACTAACTAACCAAAACTGAAAAAGATTCTTTTTATTTATTTGTAAAAAAAATAGAAGTGCCTTTGAGGGTATAGTTACTTGTGACTGGGCCTGTACCCTCAAGGGTCTGCCAATTGTACCCTAGCTGTAGGCAAATGTACCTTTTAGTCTAATTTAAGGTACTTAAATGGACTCTGATGAACATTTTTATACCATTGGGGGAACAACTGTACCACGGCTGTACCCTATGTTCTGTCAGTGTATTCTGTTGATCTGACAACTTTTTACAACATAAAAGCACAGAGTATCACTTTGAATGTTAATCTGCAGGATTCCACACACCGGGTGTCAGAGTGCTAATCAAAACCATAGTTCTGGGGGTGTGAGACCACAGCAGAGTGGCAGAGGAGGCGGGCAGAGGAGGGGCGATCACCCCCTAACCCATCACGGCAGGGGGCCCTCTGCAAAATTTTCCAAGGGGGACTCCCTCCCATACTCCAATTCAACACCCCCCCGCCCCCACCGTGGGACCCCTGATGTAAGACCCCTCCTCCACCCCTGCATGGTACTACACACTTAGCCACTGAGTCCAAATAGTTAAATTCATGCAAAATGCAGCAAATTTTTAGCTATTTGTTCTCATATAATTTGCGTTCAAACAAAACAGAAAATGTAGCCTGTGACATGAATGTGCATTTTATCGCCACATAAATTTGCCCAAACAAAAGCAGAGTATGGATGGCTGACATATGACAGTTAAATGGCACATCAATTCACCCTGTTCCATATTTGATTACCTGCAGATGCCAGGGAGAAGTGGACTGGGCCAAGAAGTTGGCATGACATAATAAGACTCCATCGTTGCTGCGGTCCTCATATCCTGTTGATAGGTGGACCCTTCCTGTAGGATCCCTGGGTACGACAGGTGGTCGACTTGGGTCTTGCTGACCTTGGTGGGGGTGTAATCCAGGGAAACGGTTTCGAAACCATTGGCACTGTGGGTCAAGCTGGCAGAGGGGGCATGGATGCTGGTTGGGTGTGCCTCATGGCCGCCTAGCTGGGGTGATGAATCACGGGAGTGGTTGGGGCTGTGGTACATCTCATAATTGCGCTTGCCTTGTGGGGAGCTGCTACGGGATCCAGCCCGGGGGGAAGGGGAACGGGCCCCCCGAGAGCTCTCATCCAGCAGGCTGGTGCATGGTGAACCCCCAGGGGAGGTGTGAGGGGAGCCCGAGGCTGGGTGGAAATTTTGGAATCCGGAGTACAAGTCTGCCAGCACCTGGTTATTAGCAGGGGACACACATGGAGAGGCCCAGGGGGACGGAACATCTGAGTGGCAGCTAGTGGAGGAATTGCTACTGGCAGGACTTGGGCAGACTGGCTCCCGGTAGGCGCTGCTCTCATGCCGAGGGACAGGCAGCGAGTATCCTGGGCCAGCGGGTGCTTGATCCCCCAGGGAGCTCCTACTCTGATGATACTGCTCGTGCGATAGTGTAATCTCAATCCTCGGACTCGGAGCAGCTCCCCCAGGTCTGTAGTGCTTCAGGTATGTCTGGTCGTCATACCCCGCAGCGCCCTCAAGGAAAGAGCTGTCACAGGGAGATTGGCCACGAACCTTGACATCTTCGGAGAAGACCCCCGCATGAGGGTGCATGGGCGCTAAAACAGAACCGGTGGCATTCTGGGGAAAACTTATTGTCTCATCTGCAAGGAAATATGGGGTGGACATTGAACATCGGTCTGGGGGTTTTAAAAATAAACAGTACACCTGAGTAACCGTACAGTAGCTGTACTGATACAGTACGTCAAAACACTATGGCACATACACATCGCAAACTACACCAAATAAAAGTGTTATATAATAGTACCGAAGAAAAGGATGTTATAAAATGTTACTAACAACATTCTGCTGCTTTCAAGTCAAATGCATCCTAGGAACATGTCAACTATGAAGCTTATCTTTAATGATTCTGTATTTAAATGTAGATAATGAAATGGAATAAATGTTGATAAATGAAAACGTTTGTTTATCAAAAACAATAGAAGTTTACCAGGTGCCTTTTTAAATATACACGACAGATTTTATTAGTTTGTAAATCAGCCTATACGGCTCATTACTTTTCAAAAACGATATAGGTCCTATAGCCTACTATAGAACCGCCTGTACAGTACCCTCGTTGCGTCGATAAAATAAATTTTCACAGGGAAAACAATATAAAATTGATATGAAATTATGTGAAATTAATTGATTAAGTGAGTTAGTCCTCTTTTTTTCATCCAGGTAACTTTAGTGCATTTATATGTATCGCACAGTAAACCAGTACAGTTATTCACACTTTCACTTTTAAACTATACCTACTAATGTAATTTCATTACTATTTCGAATAACAGGAATATCACAATATCATGGGAAGACAGGATCCATTACTTTAATTTTAACTTTATCTAATTGTACAAACCTTGTTCTTCCCCGTCGAAACCGTACGCAAATAAATAATCAAATTCCAGTTCATCTTGTGCAGGATTGGGATCTTTGTCTTTGTAAAAGGACGTCATCACTCTGGCTTTTAATGAAAAACCAAACGAGTCGTAAGAAAAGTAAAATGCAAAATGGATTAATTATAATCTGCGAAAGTCTAGCAGTCACCCCAAAAAGAAATGTTATCGTCTCGCATCAGCTTCCTGTTTCGGTATAACCTTATAGGTGAGGACTACGCATATATTTAAACACAGGAAGGTGGAAAAGGCGGTGAACACCCACCAGTAAAAAGAAAATGACGAGAATAGTATAAAAATTAAATGCTTTCGCCAGAAATTTCAGTCTGTCACCTTGTATCACTATATAACGTTGACTTCTGGACAGCTCGGGTAATTTATACATAAAAATATGTATTGATAGTTTCACCGCCCCTGAGTGATTTACAGAAAACATCCTGCTGATTAATGGCCGTCTGTATTTCAGTAATTTATAATTTTTGTGTATGTGCTGCTATTAATATCACTACTACTGTTTGTCTTTTTATTATATTTATTATAGTGGGCTATAATAATTATAGCATTTGATTCGTCACCCAGCTCATTGATTAATTCATGTTATTAAATGAAAAAGTGATTTTATTCTTGTTATAGTCGCAGTACAAACCTGAAAAAAAGAAAACTTTCCAGTCTTCTTCCTTTGTATTTCTGTGGAAGCTTTTGGGATCTCCGCGGGAACTGTACGTTAACCCCCAGACTCAGCAGCATAGAGTACCGCAGAGCCTACATTGGTTCATTTTGATCTGTCAATGCATTTAACTGATTCAACATTATTTTCGCCGAGCTGCCAGATTGCCTGGTGTGTTGACAGTAAGAACAGTGATATTATCTTAATAGTGTTGATACGGGCGTCCAATCTGTATAAATCTATGGCTTAAATGTTTTTGCTATTCTGGTAGGTAGCCTAATTAGTATTTATCATCCTACAATAGTGTTTAAGTTTTAATTAACATTATTATGTCATTCCTAGCGTATACAAACTCTCATCATTTTAAAAATGCGTTTATAAACAGGAACTCTAAATTTAAAAAATCTTTTTTGTATCTTAGTTGTAATTGCCAATAGCCAATATTGTATTTTTTCTTAAATTATTATTGTTTAGTTCAATTTAAATGTTATATTTATAGACTGATAGTGTTTTATCTCTTCTCCATACAGACACAAGAGTAGTAACTGGTTGCATTCGTCGTTATTGATTGATCACTCATTTCACAGTGTTGTACCTCAACTTAACGGTACTTATAAAATACTATCAGCCATAATTTTACATGCTTGCAAAGCTGTAACCATCATTGTTTAAAACATGACATTATTATATAATGCACTGGCAAAAAGTATGTAGGTAGGCCACTGTATATCCTGACCTCTGCATCCTGGGCAATAGCACGTGGTTCCTGCAATGAGTAAGACAGTAGGAGTGATGTGGGATGCAGGATGTAGGATGCGAGTAGCGGTGCCGTTTTGCAGCACTGTGAAAAATGAACCTGCCTTCGTACACTTCGGAACAAGGAGACATTACAAGACAGTTTTGCTTAAGACATTCTGACATTAATTGCTATGCTGACCTTTTTCCAGCATTGAACCAGGAACAATATTAACTTAAGGTCCACAGAAAATAATGTATATGCTGTTACGAGAGTCTTAGTGCAGGTACAACTAAAAGTAAAGATTTTAAGTAAAAATTAATTGAAATGTTGTATTAGTTCTGCTCTTCTTGTGCATTGGTGAAGGTGTTCATTTCACAAACACTTTATTTTAAAAACACTGCCTGTATTGCTTTACTTAGTTTTGTATGATGGACTATAGTAGCTATTCAAACCATCCCATATTAGATATGTCCAATGCAATTCATGAGTCCATCGAGATTATTGATGACTGTTGTCAGTCTTTTGCAGAAATTATCACTTCTTTTTAAGCCATAGATATAGTCACTTCCATTAGGGAAGTTATACTGGCTGCCAAGACAACTTTTCTGGTAGAACTAACCAAAACAGGAAGTTTTTGTCTTCCCTCTAATTTAACAGGTAAGCTAGTTTGAAAAATTTTCATGGCTTTATTTGGGACTCTGGATACTATGTTGGCCTAACCTTTTTTTTTTGCATGTGTGTTCAGTTTTTAAATTATTGAATATAGTTTAAAATTATGGATTTCTACCACTGGTAGATTTTATGCATCATGTATTATAGAAACAGCAGTTAAGTTAAATATAATTGCTGTTAAATTAGCTCGGCTGTATTTATCAGATTTGTATCTAGCTCCCTAATTCCCAGCACTTCTCTGTTATACTGTGAATGGCCAAATGCTTGCCGGCGTTTTCTGGTTGCGGCAGACATAGGGGAATCCTAAACATGGAATCTATTTGTGTCTTATTTGTTATTTGTATGAAAAGTCAGTGTGGAAAACTTGCATGCAACCAAAATAACGTATCATATAGCAGATATAGGTAACTATGTGCAACGTTCTATCATTTTTTTCAGGGGGGCTTAATTATACCAGTAGAAATAAATGTTAGGCAATAGATTTATTGTTAAATATGCTATAATTCCTACTATATGGGCTCACTGTATGTAAACATTATATATGTTACTTGATTTGGCGTGCCTTGAGACTTATCCATCCATCCATCCATTTTCTGTACCTCCTTGTCCTATTCTATTCATTAAATTAAAAAGTACTAAAGAATGCTAAATAATGTTTCTGAAAGAAACATTCTTTCAATAACTCCCATATTAATCCCCACAATCAAGATCTATATCATGAAACCACTGACTTCTGTAATTTAAACTCCATTAGTGGGGTGTTACCTCCGTCAGGAGTTTTAAGGAGTTGTAAAGACTCTTTGAAAAGTATTAGATTAGATTGACTTTATTAATCCCACAATGGGGACATTTCTATTGTCTACAAAGCAAGCAGTTCTTCTAAAGGGGGAAAGCATTTGGCTATGAACTCATTCGTTTTAAATAGTAGTCCCACTGCTTAGCCAAACTCAGTGTAATGCTGAAGGTCATTAAACCTCTTTAGGATATCCTGTTTCTGGAGGAAAGTGACACAGAGACGAAAGACATAGCAAGAAGTAAAAATAAATTAAGGTATCTTTAGCAATTGTGAGGATGGGAAGAGAGAACATTTCTGGAAGTATATCTGAGACAGACGTTTGTCTGAAGGTGGGTAATTCTTTAGCTCAGGTTTCTCTAGAAGCGACTTGGAACACACTGAATACTGGTATAAAACAAGTTAAGCCTCTAAAAAACTAATGTTGAATGCCTATAATCTTTTATCACAGAGCACCTAAAACAATGATATAATGTCAGGTTATTGCTGCAGGGGAGGGATTTACTGGATTGTTTTTCAGTTCCACTATAAGAATATATTTAGCGATCCTGCAGTTTCCAGCTCGTTGCAGACTGTTTCAACCAGTAGCAAATGCACATACTTAATCTATGATCTTCAAATGGGGAAATGAAATTAATTATATTAAGGAAGTCAGAAAGAAGTCAAAGTCCTTTGAATAAGCGATGAGTCATTATCCAGTCTAGGTTTGCAGGATGGCCCAAATGTGATGTTTTTGGCCTGTAAATTTTCCTCTGCCTCTTCAGACAGACTTTGGCTCCATGTGATGGACAATGAATAGATGAGTGATGATTTAGACAATGCAAATCCTATGTGATACTCTTGGATCTGGCATCCCTCACCATCCCCTGTGCCTCCCTGGATACCGTCTAGATTTACCACAGCTCTGTACCAAAAAGCTCATCCATCCATTTTCTGTAACTGCTTGTCCTATTCAAGGTCACGGGGGCAGTCTAGAGCCTATCCCAGTGGCTACGGGTGCAAGGCAGGGAACAACCCAGGATGGGGCGCCAACCCATCGCAGGACACTCACACACCAGGCACTTATGTTGTTAGACTGGGGAGGGGGGACTACACAAGAACACTGGGAGAGCATGCAAACATGGAGCCATGGCAGAGACTCAAACACTGGAAGTGTGAGGCTGCAGTGCTGACCACTGCACCACCTGCATCAAAAAGTAGATCAAGTAGATGGAGAGAAGCATGAGAGAGTCAGACTGACTGAATTGTAGCAAACGTAATAATTGTTATCTGAAAGGCTTCAACATTAATCTTTTACTGCCATTTTAGGCTAGTGATGCACCCATAAGGAAATTCCTGGCTAATGCCGATAGCCGAATATTTCGAAAATTGACACCAATACTAATATCGATACCAATTGTTTGGGAGGTTCTGCTTAAATTTTAAAGATTAAAGGGACCTTGACCCAAATAAATAAAAAGATAATAATAATTACATTCCAAAAATATGCAAAAGTCTTTATTGTTGGTGAGAAAACACCAAGTCTGGCATACGACAACAATCCCAGAAGACGACATTTTGTAACTTTGTACATCTAACATATTTATAACATTTATAACAGAGGAGGGCTGATCATCAAGTGTGACAAACGCCGTAATTTTCAGAGTAACATCTCTTGAGTTTGCACTATCTGCACTGAATTTTCTTTTGCTGTTAAACGCTTGCATTACTGGCATCCATCCAGTAATTTTCTATACCCACTTTGTCCTATGCAAGGTCGCCGGGGCCCACATGATGGCGCCATCTTGCAGTAAACACTTTCAGCAACTCAGCTGACAAAGGTTTTTTATGAAGATCAAGAAACAAAGATTTCTATAGGTATTTAGATCAAAATAAATAATATAATGTAATCAAACACTCAGGGTGGTTCCAATTAGGCTAAGGCTTCTTCTGCAAAGGATTCTTCACAAATTGCCAAAAATCTGCAAAACTGAATATGTACTGAATAACAACAAATTTCCCTATATTCCTATTAGCAATATATTAAACTTTGATAAACAGTCACAAAGAACATGTAAATGAATACATTTTATGCATTTGCTCCTTAGAACTGCTCCTGCATTTACTTTCAGTGTTGACTGTTTACCTTCTCTTTAATAATCTGCCTTTGGTGTCGCACAAAAAAAAGAAGTTTAAGAAATGTCCACTAGGTGGCAGTACTAAGATCACCACATGACATGCCCCCTCCTGAAGCTTGCCTGCAAGTGTGCAGGCTGTGGCATTGTGTGGGCTGAATAGACTGTCTTGCTTCAGCACATAAACCTTAACATTCT